CAGTGACTAACTGGACAGGACCTCGCACTGACATTCTTGTTCACCCTGATGAAGTCCATCAGTCTTCGGAGCAGACCACCGGGAGTGTGTCACTTAGCTGAAGGTCTTGGAGGATGCAGGGCCGCGGGTTTTAAGTCTCACAAGGAGAAACAACTGCAGCAACAACCGGGAGAGGTCGATGGCGGTGGACCAGCGCACCTTTGGAGACCTGCTTGGAAGCCACGGGGGAAGCGATAAGGGACGAAGGAGCTCCGTTAAGGCCAGTTCATGCTTTCCATGTCCATGTGCGCTGACCAATAAGCATCCGTGGCTCTGTTCATATTACAATTAGGCCACGTTGCACTGTAGCACCACCTAAAGGATTATTACTAAGATGTGCCAGGGGGCAGCCAAAGCACAGGATTCCTGGAGAAATGAGGACTTGCTCACATGTCGAGGTTCCGCTGACGGAAAGTACGTACATATCTTCTAAAGTCCGACTTCAATCACAGAAGCTCTCGGTCTACAGACTCCTCATACCAAACATCTGATTAAAGCACCACTTCATTTCCTGGCACTTGTGCGGCAGGTTTGGTTTTAGTGCCGACAGTCTGTGCGACCTTTTGTGCTTTTAGTTTTTAACATTAAAATGATCGGTGCATCTCGATTAATGTGCTAAATGTTTAATTTAAATTTTTTGATGTCGAAAAAGGAAAAAAAACAAAAAACTGATGGTGCTACTCCTTTCAGTTGTGTTGCCCAGCAGGAATTCTGTGGAGCAGTTTTCTTATTTCTGCTAATGAGTCGTCTGTACCTGCTCCTATCATCACAGCCATACAGATAAATCCTGCAGCGCCGTGTTGCAGTGAGTCGTGTACTGAAGGAGCTTATAGTCCCTGAATGCATAGTCAGAACCAGGTGTTTTCCTCGTCTTTGTCTCAGGACGAGGCCACGTTAGGACATAAAGAGCAGCAGAGCCGGTGGGCGTCTGAAAGCAGACGCTCATTATGGGATGTTTCCTGGCTGAGAAACACTCAGGGCTTCTTTCTCTGGATGTGAATCATTGATTTTTGTTCTGTTTGAGTTCAGACTGAAAGGCTTTGGTGGATCCTTTCAGCTGCAGTGTGTGAGCGCGTGCATCGGTATCTCTGTGAGGACCTTCGGGCTGTTTGAAGTCAGCTGCAGGTGACGTTCAGAGTCCTGGAGATGCTTGGTGTCCTCACACAGATGGAGTTTCTGTGCAGTGCTGGATGGCGACTGAGCTCGCTGTGTCCCAGATTCACCGAAGCCAAATGATAATGAGCTCAGATTGATGCTCTCCTCCTCTTCCTGCTTCACCTCGCATCAGCTCGCTTCTCTTTCTCCTCTTTGTTCGCCTTCTGTTCTCCTGATTTCCTTTCCTGTCTTTGTTTACGTGCCATCTTTTCTGTGCCGTGTTGCTCCCATGTAGCTGCACCACATGCAGCCTGAGGTACGGCAGCGACTGCTTGTGTTTTCCTGAAATAACGTTCTGAGGGTCAGAAAATGTGTAGATTGGCCTCCAGAGAAACACCCAGTAGCCAAACATTACTTTGATTTGACTCAGAAAATTCTCAAATGTGAATATATTTACACCTTTCCAGTATTCTAAGATGATAAACTCGACATCTGATTGGTTGTTTATTGTGTAAAACATCAGAAAATAGTGACAAAGCTTTCATATTGTTTCCCTTTTCAGCAAACGAATGAAAACCTCACACGTCCCTGCAGTTTGTCTTTCAGTTTCTTTACCTGAAAACACAGAAAAGATGTTTGATCTCTCCATGACTGTCCAGCTCCTGGTTTTAGTGTCTGTAGCTTTAAATGCTACTGAGCTAGTGCTGGCCCCGCCCACTTCAGGAAGAAAACACTGTGTTTTTAAATAACAGCAGAAAAATAAAGTTACACTCATAAACTCAGGACTTTCTATTTCTTCTTACATGAAAATGTCTGTTGATTCTCAGCTCGGTTTTTAACTCGCTTAACGCACAACTTTTTTCAGACGACGCAATAAAATCAGTATTTTAGCGGCTCGCTTGTTCACGCATATTAATGAGCTGCATTTCAGTCACAGTTTCATACTGGTTCTGTTGTCTGAAACAGAAAACCTGAATGAGAGCAGCTTTATTATCAGTCCAGCTGGTAGTAAAATGCAGCTTATGTGAGCACAGGGAGCAGGAGAGAAGCTAAGGGACGCTAACAGAAGCTAAGGGATGCTAACATAAGGTAATGGATGCTAACAGAAGCTAACAGACGCTAACAGAACTGAACAGAAGCTAATGGTCGCTAACAGAAGCTAACGGATGCTAAAAGAAGCTAACGGACGCTACCAGAAGCTAAGGGACGCTAACAGAAGCTAACAGAAGCTAATGGATGCTAACAGAAGCTAGCAGATGCTAACAGAACTGAACAGAAGCTAACAGATGCTAACAGAAGCTAAAGGATGCTAACAGACGGAAACAGCACAGTGACCCACCCAGTCCTGGTTTGCCCATTTTAAATTAAAGTTTAAACACCATCAACGCTAACGTTAGCCACATTAGCACTAGGGATACTCCTGTAGTTGTGGGGACCACCGGGTACCAACTGCGTGTCCAGCTCATGCATGAAGACTCTCATGTTCACTCTTACAGCAGAACATTTGGCGAGTTTTGTTCGTACGTTTTAGAGTTTAGCAGAAGCAGCTGAAGTAAATAAACCTGGCGGAAAGGGAGGCAGCATTCTGATTGGTTCACGTGGAACCAGTGAGGGGGCGGAGCTACACACATGTAACTTGACAAACATTGGTTCCTTCATGTCTGGGTAGAAACTTCTGAATGTTGTGACTGTGTCATGAAGCTGGAGTACGTCCAGTAGAGCGGTGGCAGAACAAGAAGAACAAGCTCCACGTTTTTAAGACACGATTTAAACGGATGTAAACACCTGCCTGGTGGTGATCATGAGCAGAACTGTGCTCATGTTGGACTGCAGCGGTTCTTTTCTTGTCGTCTTTGTCTCATTTTGGTCGTTTTTGTCTCCTGTTGATGCTTCTGCTTCTCCGCTGTCGTATTTGTGGTAAATTTTACAGCCTGTGGCCGTTTTGCGTCTCTTTTATGTCTCGTCGTGTGATTTATTTTTCTCACGTTATAACCTTCTTGTGGTCGTTTTGCATCACGTTTATGCGTCGTGAACTTTTCCAGTTTGCTGAAGAACCTCGTCGGCGTTGTCACTGAGGCTGGTCTGTCCACCGCAGTGTTTACAGGATTCCTTCATGCTGAACTGCAGCTCGATGAAACTGTGTCAGTGATTCAGAAGCCCGTCCACTCGTCTGTGACTCATTCTGTTGAATAACAAGATGCTGCAGGTTCAGCTCTGCAGTGGTTCTGACTGTTTAACCCGTTGTGTTCCAGGATCGCTGGTTCTGGCGTCTGAGGAACAACAAGGTGCAGGAGGGCTACCCCATGCAGATCGACCAGTTCTGGAAAGGCCTGCCGCCGCGCATCGACGCCGCCTACGAGAGGTCCGATGGCAAATTCGTCTTCTTCAAAGGTGAAACATCTCAGACGTCAAACATCAGCGCGTTTGGTCTCCACTGGACGCTCAGAGTTAAAAACAGAGTTCTGGTCTGAAACTGGGGAAATCATTCAGTCTGTTGAACTTCCATCGATTTCAGGCTTGTTTTGTTCTTTTGCAACTTTTTCGGGCCTTTTTTCAGATTTTTTTTTTAACTCTCTGGCTCTTTAGCACCTTTATGTGAACATGTTGCAGCACATTTTTGTCCTTTGGCAGCTTGTTGTGGTCGTTCTCGTCGCGTTTTTCTAGTTTTGCATCATTTTGTGAACATTTTGCATCACATTTTTGTCGTTTTGCATCTTTATTTGTGGTCAAATTGCGTTACTTTTTTGTCCCATTGCAGCCTTTTGTGTTATGCACCATCTTACGGTCATGCTTTAACCCGTTTTCATGTCTCATTTCGATCATTTTGCGTTTCTGTTGGCATCTTGTATCACATTCTGGTGGTTTTGCATCTCTTTTGTTCCAGTACAACTTGTAACGGTCGTTTTGCGTCTATCTGCAGCCATTCTACGTGTCTTTGTGTCATTTTTGGCTCTTGGTGGGGGTTTTGTTTCTCGTTTCTGTCAGTCAGTCTCTTCCGTTGTACCTCGTTTCATGTACGTCTGGTCAGTAACGTTCCTTCAGCGTTCCAGTGTGGTTTGTATTTTCATTCTTGGCCTGTTCAGTAATCTCAACAAGCTGAACCAATCAAACATGTCTGAGTGGACATGAAGCCTGTGGAGGGAGAAGACGTCCCATCAGGTCTGAACAAACTGCTGAGTTCTGCTGGCAGCGAAGCAGGAGAGTCGAACGGACACCCAGAGATTCTGTATTTATGTCAAAATGAAACCAAGACGGGAGCGTGTTTGGAAGTGTTCTCAGACCCACAACATGAGTAAAACACACACACACTCACATACACACTGCAGCATCATCTGGTGCTCACAGATTTACTCTGAGCTGCCTTCAGGTCTCACCAGGTGATGTAATGATGGAGGATCTTGTAGCTCTTCTATTTTTACAGCCCTGATGCGGCACAAACACACCGACCAGACTGAGCTTCAGACACGCAGCAGCAGAGCAACGAGGAGCTTCTCATGTGTGACTTTAATTCATTTATGCACAACTGAAGCCTTAAAAATGACCAAAGTCATAAAATTCACCTTCAAAGTTTTGTACGCAACATTTTTTTAACGTTATTTTATTTCCTGTTTAATTAAACTACAAGTAATGTTCAGTCAAATCAGAATTATTACAGATAAAAATAAAATAATCATTTTGTTATGTTTAAATCTGCTAAAGTCGACTTGTTTTACTGATGTTTGTATTGTCGGTACTGTTCCTGAACGTTCCACCGTTTGCTTTCATGTATTTTTCTTGCCAACTTGCTGCCAGTTTTTTTTTTTTTTTTGCAGAGTTATGAACAACTTATACGCGACAGGAATGTGTAGTTTCAGGGTTTATAACTGCTGCCTTTGTCTTATATTTAATAGAAGTGTCTCCTTCAGCCCGTTCTGTTGCTGCTGCACCGTGTGGATGTTCATCAGTACTTTCTCGTGTCGTCTGTAGCGCTCTACATGAGCAGAAAAGTTAAACCGGCGGCATGACGACATAAAACTGGTCTCATCTGACTTTTTAAAGGCTGACAGTCGTCGTGCTTCCTGCTGAAAACAAGAAGCTGAAGCTCAGAACGTCTCTAAAGCAGAGGCTAAGGTTAGATTAGGTTCTGGTCATTAAAGAATCCTCTTGAATGTCTGGAAGGGAAATAAATTCAGAATTGAGTTTCTGCTGTTTAACATCACATCAGGCTGTTTAATCACAGAGTAAACGAGCGTTTATGGAGCTCTTAGTCTCTCTTTGTGTTTCCAATAAGAGGTGGATGTATAACGGAGAAGCTGTTTCATCTGCTGGTTAAACACGACCCGGTTCCACCGTCTGTCCAGGAGTTCCCAGTAAATACCTGCTAGGTTTACTTATTGTTTGATGCCTGATTCTGCAGGAGGAGGTCGTGTTTCTGTTTCTGAACAGCGCCAGAGAACTATCGATCCGGCTCTGGTTCTGGTCCAGAGCTCAGCTGTTAAATAATCCTTTATAAATATGAAACCGGAGGAGAAAACGTGTTCTGAGCCTGTCGGCAGGAAAAACAGAGCGGGGAGTTGGACAAAGGAACCAGAACTTTACGTTTCGACACATTAACGTACGAAGGCTTCAATTAAAATGTGAGAAAATAAAACCGAAACAAACTTAAACAACAAGTCATCAGTGTTTAAGTTTTAAATCAAACTAATCAACTGAAGTCAGAGCAGCTGGAGGTGAGAGAAGATAAAACCTGCATCTCCGTTTCTCTGCCGGTCGTCCAGGTTTTAGAAGCTCAGAGAACAAATGAGTAAAACTTCTGTGATCAGGAACAAACAGTGAATCTGAGCTGATGCTGCTGCCAGAGGAGGACGAGTCAGGAGCTCCGTGTTGTCGGCGCCGGGCGTCACAGTTACCTTGTTTTGTGACGTTTTGTGAACACATTTAGATTTTTGTGACCCGTTTGATGTGTGTTTGTCGTTCTTTTACGTCTTCTGTGATCATCCTGCATCACAGTTTGGTCATTTTGAACTCTGTGGATGTCTTGCAGCTTCGTCCTTTTGTTCTTTTGACACTTTTCTGGCTGCTTTGGTCACTTTTTGGTCTTTTTGTGACAGTTTGTGATCGCTGTAGATCACATTTTGGTGGTTTAACAACTGTCTGTGGACTTTTTAAACATTTTTGTGATCCGTTTGTTATATTTTTGTTGTTCTTTTACATCTTTCTGTGATCATTTTGCCATTTTCACTTTGTACTGTTCTTCTGACACTTTTTGTGGCTGCTTTGGTCACTCTTTGGTCTTTTTGCAGCACTTTGGTTCCACTCCTGTTGTTATAAATGCATTTTTAAAATAAATCTGACTTGACTAAAGTATTATTTGTGGTTAAACATCCTGTGGACGGACCTCAGGAGCTTTAAGTACCTGCTCAGTAGTGTGAGCTGTGTTTTATAACTTAAACTCTTCTCTGTGCGATCCACTGCAGGAATGCGTCTTAAAGCTAATTTTCGCACAACTGAGGCTTTAATTGTTATTAAAATGTCTTCAGTGTCCAAATCCATCTGCACACTGTTTGGTAGCGGCTTCATTCTGCTGGTTGCATCACATTTCTGTCGGTTTGTAAATGACGTGGCTGTTTTCCAGCTAATCGTTTCATGTTTTGTGCTGTTCAGACACCTTTCAGTGGTTCCTTTACATCTTCTTGTGGACATTTGGGTTCGTACTGTGACCACTGTTTCACCTGTCTCAGTCTTGTCATGTCTCGTGTCTCGCTTCCTGTGGCCATTTTCATCCCATTCTGTCGGTTTCACGTCGATCTGAGGTCGGCTTGAGCCCTGAACACCGACTCCACCACGCATAGCGCCGTCCTGACGTCCCTCCCCAGCCACTTTCTTTTTATTTTGATCACCAGGTTAGACACATGATGTTTAAAGTCCATCCGTCTTGGTGCCGTCAGAGTAGAGAAGCCGGTCGCTGTTCTGGGCTCAGTCCACCGGTACCGGGAGCTAATGTCGGCTGCTCTTCCTGCTGCAGGTGATAAGTACTGGGTGTTCAAGGAGGTGACGGCGGAGCCCGGCTACCCCCACAGCCTGGTGGAACTGGGCAGCTGCCTCCCCAAAGACGGCATCGACACGGCGCTGCGCTGGGAGCCCGTCGGAAAGACCTACTTCTTCAAAGGCGACCAGTACTGGCGCTACAACGAGGAGAAGCGCACGGCCGACCCGGGATACCCCAAACCCATCGCCGTCTGGAAGGGGATACCGGACGCCCCGCAGGGCGCCTTCATCAGCCGGGAGGGATGTGAGTATCTGCTGCTGGTTGGTCTCCATGAAACTAGACCTGATCAGCAGGTCTGTAGTCAGAGAACATGTGAGTGGACTGAGATCAGGGCTGCTCCTCCATGATCAGCTGGTCATGAACGTCCTGCTCTCAGCATTAAAATAATCTAAAATAACCCAGAACCGTCAGGAGAAGCTGGAACCTGCAGCATGTTTAGTCACTGTGACCTCGTTAGTCTGCTGAATGAGAACCGGGAGCAGATCAGCTGCACATCCAGTAGAACCACATGAGCTGAGATGTCACCTCCTCTGGTGACACACAATCATCTCATGGTGGTTGTCTTTCTTTTTGTGGTGATTATGAGTGTTTTCAAGCTGATTTCATGTTTTTTGTGCTGATTTTGCATCATTTTGTGGTGGTTTTTCTTGCTTTGTGGTGGTTTTTCTTGCTTTGTTGTGGTTTTTCTTACGTTGTGGTGGTTTTTCTTACTTTGTGGTGGTTCTGACAACGTTTCTCTTTGAGGAAGAACCGCTGGAATCTGTACGTGAGATTGAGATGAGATTTTGTTGAAGCAGCACATCGACCGCCCAGTCGACCTGGACATCAGATTAGCAGAGCTAAGTTTTCTGGAGGCTGGGTTTTAATGACAATAAAGGAGATTCAAAGGCTCTTTACCAGTTCAACTCTCAGTTCCCCGTGTCTCTAACTGGTACTGCGATCCACTAGTTTACAAAATGTCTTCAATCAGACGCACTCAACACTTGCATAGACTCATATATACTGAAGTAATGAAGTGAAGCAGGACAAACCAAAGTAGTTGACGGTAACAGGAAGTATTTGTCCACTTTTTAAAAACTCTTACAATCCTTAAGCTCAGTGACCAGAACTTGTACGACCCAAGAAGCCCAGTCTGCCCTCAGAGTCTTCAGCAGGTTTTCGGACCAGATGGCAGCGTTTCTTGGAGCACTTTGACAAACGAAGCTGCACCGCCGGCTGTGACGCTTCATTTACGTTCATTAGGACGCGCTGCACTCATCATCATGGACGTTTCATTTATTTCATCGTTGAGAGGAAACAGCTCGGAGCCTCAGCACGGACGATTAGTGGCGTCTGCGGTGCTGATTTCGGTGCAGAACATCATCATCATTAGCAGCTATCAGGCAGTTCTGTTGTCTTGAGGACTTTCTTCTGCACAGCAGTTCCTCACAGTGAAGAGCTCGAGCTTCAGCCGTCGGTGTCGACGCTGCAGAAGCACGAAAAGCTCCAAAACAAAGGCGGCAGACTGGCCCAGGAAGGCGGCCGTCATCACTTCTGCCGACCCCTCGACCTCGCGGCTGCCTCAGAGGGCGCGGCGGTGTTGTTGCGGTGGTGTTGTCGCGGCGACGTGCTCGCTGAGCCGTGGCGTCTCGGTGTTGTTGACGAGGAGCCAGCCTGCAGGGACTGGGAGAGTGTCAGGCTGTGTTTGTTTGGAGGTGATGGAGCGGAGAGACGAGACATCACCAGAAACCTTCAGGGGCTCCTCTGTTACAGAGAGCGTCGCTTCATCACAGCCGAGTTACCCGAGGACTGACCCGATCCAGTCGGTCTCTGCTGGATCCGAAACATGAAGAGTTTTGTTGTAACCGATGACGGAAAACTTAAACTAGCTTCTGGTACGATAACTGTGTTCTCAGTCACATTCTCACCTCCGTTGAACATGTTTGTCCAGGATGACCAGTGGAGAAGTCAGGGATGCTCTATAAATACCTGTCAGCAGGTACTTTACAGGTACAGTTACACTTTAACCCTTTGCAGGGCGCTCACTGAAATACTCGGGAGTGTAAATGTTCAGCCCTTATTCTTATTGGTGGATGTGAGAGGACAGCTTCTGTTTTTTTCAGACTGAGGCTGCAGATCAAAGTCAAAGCAGATTCAGTTCCTCCAGATAACACCTAGATTAATTCAAAAACACCTATATGACGATGAAAGGACGTTTGTTTCACCAGTCAGACTCGTGATTGGTCAGAGGCCGTAGCGACTGTGTTGTCATGCAGCCTGGCCTTCGCTGATTGGCCGGATGAAGTCACGTGATTCTGTTTTTAAAGGAAGTTACTATATATGGTTCCTTGCCGTATAAAAGGTTGTTCGGAGATAAATGTCATTCGTGGGCTGAGATGAACGTGATAAGGCATAAACCAGCACGTTGATCTAAAACATAAACAGGATCCACGTCGTGCATTGAACAAGAAGCTTCGTTCTTTACTTTCATTCTTTCTGGTTCCACCTGGTTGAGTTTAGGATGAACAAGTCAGAGGCTGGTTAGGATCTGGCTCCAGAGTGACTTGGTTCAGGTTAAAATGCGACTCTTTCACTATGTTTCAAGCTTCTCCTCCATTTTATGTGTTACCCTGGTGACAAGTCCCACCCCGTCTGATATGTGATTGGTTGGCTGAAAAGAAATAAAATAAACATCTAAGATTAATTGATAACAAACAAACGCTGTCCAGCCAAAAAACTCGTTTTCCTTGAGAACGACGTTTAATTGTTCTGGAGGCATGGGTTTGTTTGGACCGAGTTGACTAACCAATCAGAGCACGCTGTCTGGAACCATGTGACCCTCCACCAGTCAGCTGGAACTGAAAACGTCACCAACGAAAACATGATTATAATATTAAATTCCATTCTGACCCTAAACGCAGCTTACTGTACCGCTAGTGGACCTGATGGTGCACCTCCACTTAACTTTTAAGTAAAACATTATTTTACTTCAGACGTGTGCGTTTCTAACAGGTTTGCCATTTATTTAACCTTGTAGACAGAAACAGAGTAGACATCAGGCCTTTGGGTCTCCTGGTCCCACTTCACCCGACATTCAGTCCATCTTTGCTTCTATCTGCCTCCAACAAAGAGAGGAATCAAGCCACTAATTTATTTTTCTTTCCCTCCATCACCCTCCTCAGACTACACCTACTTCTACAAGGGGAAGGAATACTGGAAGTTCGACAACCAGAAGCTGACGGTGGAGCCCGGATACCCCAAGTCCATCCTGCGCGACTGGATGGGCTGTGACCAGTCGGACATGGAGCGCTCCGGCGGCAACGGCAACCGCGGCGACCGGCAGCTGCCCCTCGACGACGTGGACATCATGGTGACCATCAACGACGTCCCCACCACGGTCAACGCCATCGCCGTGGTGATCCCCTGCATCCTGTCGCTGTGCATCCTGGTGCTGGTCTACACGATCTTTCAGTTCAAGAACAAGGGCGTGCAGCAGAGCGCCATGACGCAGCACTACTACAAATACCCGGTGCAGGAGTGGGTATGACAGGCGTCGGCAGCAGGTCATGGAGTTACAGGGGTTCAAGCTCAGCTGTTAGCTCGCTAATGTTGGCTAACATCCTACAACGCTAGCTGAAGGACGCTAACTGTGCTAGCTAGTGAATGGTACGGACGGACGCAGAGTGGAAGAGCTCTGCGGGAGTAGATTTAGACTGTTTGTGAGTGTGAGAGGTTTGTGTCCGTCTTCTGACACACTTTAACGTATAAGGACGCTTTAAAAGAGGATCTGAAAGAGAAAAAGAAAAAAAAAAAAAGCGCATCTTCCCTGATCCGATGAGGGAACGTGGACTTTCTTCTGGGACCTAAAACTCACCATCTCCTTCTCAGTGAAAACAAAAAGAAAGAAAAATAGGATTTGGAGCAGAAAAGAAATTCGCTCCTCTAAGCCAGACACCAACAACTTGAACTGCTTCAGATTCAATAACAAAAAAAAAAAAAACAAAAACAAGAAAAGAAACAGCTTCAAAATAACAAACTTGAAGATAAACTATAGGTAGAAAGGCCATAACAAAAAGAAAACCAAGGATCTCTCTGTGGATCCATGAGTTTTTTTTAACGTTTATTTTTAGTTGTGCTGGGATGTAAAACTGTCAACGAGGACCTTTTTCTCTCTTTTTCCACCACAAACACTCGTCACCATCAACTATGTCGACTTCCTTCAGCTAGTCACGCAAACACATACACACACAGATGCATTGATTTACACGACGTTGATGGATTTTTTGCAGATGTAGAATAGAGAGTCGTTGGCGTATAACGATAGAATAGAGCAACAACAGCCTTATCTATGTCAAAATGTTTGCTGCACACAAGCAGGGCAGGAGATTATTACGCTAAAAATGAAAGACAAAAGTCAATATCTTTCATTTTTAGTCCGACTAATATATATATATGTAAGGGAGCTCCAGAGGTGTCTTTAGTTAGTTTAAAGTATATCCTTGATGACGGTAGTTTAGAATAACACCTGATGCGACATGTTTTTAGTGATTGTACTAAATATAAATGGTCATGAAGTGGTGTAAATCAGAAAAAAAGACATTTATCGGTCAGTATTGGCGTTTTACTTGAACGTTGTTTCCTGTTTGGCATGTAGCAGTGGTGCGAACCACCACAGACGGCTGGTGTTTATTTAGTTCATACTTTTTCTACCAGCAGCTGAACTTCTCGCAGTAGAATTTAGTTTCCATTTCAGCCCTATTTATAGCTTACAAATATTTATATATATATATATATGAGACTGTTGTTAATTGCTAACGGAGAGAAGAGAGATTTAAAAGAGTAGAAACGTTTATAAAAGTGAAACATGTTTACGCAGAGGAACGAATCACAGGGTCGGAGCAGGGAGGTGTCTGATTGGCTCTTCCTGCTCCGAGCTAGCATGTGACCAGTTAAAAAGCTGAGAGCTGCTCCTAAATCTTGGTTGGGTCGTTCTCTAAGAGTAAAGCTTTGATGAATGCAGGTAGCTTTAGTTTTGTTCTTGAGCCTCATCTTTGTGTTGTAGTGTCTGTGGTGAGGCCGGTCTGGTCTCATCATCTCACATTGTTGGTTTGCAACCAGCAGCGAGAGCCTCTGCTGTGGTAACCCTCTTCTGCAGCTCTTGGTCTTGGTCTCTATAGTTTGTTTACATGTGAAACAGGATGCTAACCAACCAGAATGAAGAACTTTAGCTTTGCATGTTATTCCCAGTTTATTAGCTAGTTGAGTAACTCATACAAACATCTTCCTACAACACCTCCTGCTGGTCTTGTGAGAAAACGCACCACAAATCATCAGAACCTGTTTTCATCTGAATATTTGCCAATGAAACGGCCGTCTGTTTACAGGAATCGGCCTTTTTCAGACAGACGAACTGCTGCTCGGTGAGAAAACATCCAGAGAGCAGAAAAACGAAGCTCTTTTTCTTTTTTTAACCAACCGAAGCCGAACTGTGCAGCAGTTTCAGCAGCATGTTCTTGTTCATCGGCTCTGAAGTAGGTTCTGCCCGGGCAGTTCTTACAGCCTGCAGTGGAAAACAACTTATTGATCCGAATGTCCTGTGCAGGTTGAGCCGTGAAGCGAGGCTCTGTGATGTTTACGGGAGTTTATATCTGCTGCAGGACGGGGTGGAAGCAGACCTGTGAGGGTAGAACCCGGTTCAGAACATCCTGACGTTGGGCGTCTTGCTGGACACCAGCGCTCGTGTTTCCATGTTTGCTGCTCCTCCGTCCTGTATGAATTATTTCTGGGAGACTCAGCAGACAGGAAGTCCAGCCGGCTGACTGGAGGCGGCCGAGGTGTGTGTTAGTGTTCTGGCTGTGGCCCGGCCACATCGACCCGCTTCATGAAGGGCTTCAGCTCTCAGCGCCGACGGCAGCGACTTGTCCTGCACATCCTTCGCTTTGATCCGTCGTTTCTCGCCGTCCCGCTGAAACCGTCCTCGTCCATCTGGATCCCGTCTCCACGTCCGTCCGAGCTCCTCCCCTCCGACCCAAACCTCCCGAGTCCATCTGTCTCCGCTGACCTCGACTTCCTTGTTCAGGTCCGACATCCGTCTGGAGCTTCGCTCATTCGACAGACCTCCAGGTTCATCAACAGTGCCAAAACCAGTTGTCGACTTTTAGTGTGAGTTTATGTGCGTCGCCTGCAGAGGTGATGGTCGAAAGGTTGCATTGATTTAAGGTTCTGACACCAACACGGGCAACTGGGTCCACAAAACCTGTTCACAAACAGTTCACACATCTCCAAAAGGCTGTAAGACTGAAATACCTGCAATCTATGATGCTTTCTTCATCCACGTCATGTGACCTGCAAGTGTGGATATAACGAGAATCCATCAACCATGGGACTGGTATCCCGGCTCGGGTTCAGGTTCTGGTGGGGCTGTTGTTCTGTGGCACGTTTGTTTATGTGACAGAACTCACTGGGTTAGAACAGGTCCGTTAGAAACGCTTGTCGGTCACCGTGTTCCAGGTTTCAGTCGCTGCTCGTTTGCAGTCAGTCGGTCATTTTTAGTCCCTGTTTTCAGTCAGGCTTTAGTTTACAGGCTTTAGTTTTAAGTCATGCTTTAGTTTACAGGCTTTAGTTTTTAGTCAGGCTTTAGTTTACAGTCAGGCTTTAGTTTTCAGGCTTTAGTGTTTACAGGCTTTAGTTTTTAGTCAGGCTTTAGTTTACAGTCAGGCTTTAGTTTTCAGGCTTTAGTGAGTGGCGGTTTACCGTTATATGCGCTCGCTGTTTTGCGTCGTGTCCGTCTGTCTCCAGGTCTGCTTGGTTACGTTCAGACGTTATTATTTGGGTGAAAGTACTTTTGTGTCCCTTGAAAAACAGAAATCTCAGTTTTACAGCCTTTATTTTTTGAACAACACGTTCTTCGCGGTGCACCAACAGAACTACGACACAGTTTTGGTTGAAGATCTGGCTTTAGAGGTGGAACCAGCTGCAGCAGAGTCTAACTTCAGGCGCTGTTGCCTCCCGTCGTCTCCATGTTTTCAGCCTGAGTTTAGGCTCCAGCAGAACAAACGGTGAGCGTCTGACTGACGGTCTGCTGGGTTCTGAGCGCTGCGTCGGGATGTTTTAAGCCTGTGGCGCTCTGATGAGGACTTTATTCTGGCCGAGGGAGTCGTGTTGCGTAAGCTCTCGGCGGCACTGCGGCTGCATTTGAACGCCGTTACCTTCCTGGCGTGACTCACGACGGTTCAGTCGGAGGCGTCTGGGAGTTCTCCACCTCCCACCTGCTGCTGGAAACCAGCGCCGGGACGTCCTGTCTGGAGCGTCTGAACTCCTTCTGAAGGCGAGTGAACCAGTCTCCCTGTTTTGTCGAGACTGGATCCACATATACGTGCAGGCCGTAGTAATGGCAGCCCCGTTGTGGCGCCTCCTACAGGCCCAACACTGTAACGTCTTCCCGTTCACGTCCAGCGCCGCCCTCCTCGCTCTCGTTCCCGTTGGCTGGGCTTTGTACCGGACTCACCCAGCGCTCTGTCCTGCAGTAATTGAATGTGTTCTCGCTGCGTATCCTCGTAATTACTCGCTGCTGCATTCAGCAGGAATCGATGGCGCTCAATACCCTGCGGCGCTGTTTGGACCCGGTGGGGAGAAGCACAGACGTGTTCCTGAGGCTTGTACAATAAACACAGAGCAAGACGTTCTGCTGCTTCTGCCTTCCAGTCGACAGCCTTCATCTGAAGGGAGGAAAACCGCCTCCCGGACCGAACTTCTCCTCCTGGTTCCTCAGCTCGTGTCTGACGGACCAGAGAGTTTAACAGGAGTGGATCGGATCTGCTGCAGCCAGACCAGGATCGGATCTGCTGCAGCCAGACCAGGACCGGATCTGCTGCAGCCGCTTTATTTACATTTATTCATCTCACATGTAAAATAATCTGATTGTAATGAAGCACCACAGCTTGGATTCTGATCGTTTTCCAGACACGACAGCGAATAACTCAGATGATTTTATTTTGCCAGATTTTAACAGATTCTGGTTTGTTGGGTTGATGAACAGTAACGCTATAAAACGTCAGTTCAAAGGCCCGTAAGTCATTTACCTGCAAGTGTTCATTTTCTAGTTAACTGTGTAACGTCCAGGGAACGTTGCTAAACGTTTAATATGCAAATAAGCAGAAATAATGTTTAAAAAAATAAAGAAAAGTGATTTGTGTTCATTGTAAATTAAGAAGCAGCCGAGTCGCTGCATGGAAGCGGTTGAGGGTTCAGTTCCTTGCTTCAGGGCACTGCAGCAGGCTGAGGGAATCCGTCCTGGTCATCAGGGGGTTTTAGGGCAGGTTTCAAGCTGGTAACTTTACGGTTGCTTGATTTTTGCTTTTTGGGCTCCTGAACCGCTGCTGTTGCTTCGACGGCGAGCGGTTCCAGATGTTGACTCTGGTGTACATCAAACTAAAACTCCCACGTCGCTGCTTCACTGATTAACTCACCTCAAAATGTTTTAGCTTCTGGAAGAATTTTACTGGAAAAACATGAGCAAACACAACAAAATCTGAATAATCAGAATCAGATTTAGCTTTTGTCTACTTTATGTCGTGTAAGAAACTTAGCTACCCAGGCTGAAATCAACATAAAATATTAAAGGACAGATTGGGTTTTACCCAATCTGTCCTTTAATATGATCATTTAAGGCATTTTAACTACTTTACATCACATGAAATCCTTGAGAGTCAGAGAATACTTTGCTAAGCTAGCCCAGTTAGCTTTTTTTCTGTCTACAGTGAAAGTCAAGACCTAGCTTTGGTTTATGTGACTTTTCTTGAATCCTGGAGCATCAAAGCTAATTGTTAAAATCCATGAGACTGGAAAAAAAATGGGAGATTTGAGTATTTGCTAAATCTGTCATGCTAGCTAGCTTTGTTTTTAGCTCTTGTGAAGGTTTCCTGCTTTGTTTTAACTCATTTATGGTGTAATTCTTGGTTGTAGCCTAATTTTAGCCAAAATGCACCGTACGTGCTGTGTTTTGGCTTCGTTATAACGAACGTGGAGGTT